TGTGAACATGGTGATGAACCTTCGGGTTCCATAAAATGCTGGGAAATTCTTGAGTAGCTGCAAAATTGGCAGCTCCTCCAGAAGGGCTCAGCTCCATGAGTAAGTAAGTAAGTATGGAAAAGGCAGAATTGTTGTGGCCACTTCTGATTTTAAATCATATTTTATGTGGATGTTGCAAGATATATTAAAAGTATCAATCATTCATTGTGTAAAACTTACATATTAAGTTGATTTACTGCATGCCGAAAGGAATGTTGCTTCTGATTTCTTGTGTGGTTCCAAAAAATATCTCAGCATTGAAGTCTGTGCAGCACACTTACATAATCTGAGAATTAATAATAAAAAGTATGTTATAGGTGCGCTTGAAAATTAGTGCTGTGTTTGGTTGCTTGATTATTTTCTGAATACTTTTAGTGAAAGTGTGATACTCAAAATACAAACAATAACATTTTCATAGTTTCTATATAGGTAGCAAAAGGTAAATATAAGATCTGTACATTCAATAATATAATGATATAGCGTTCACCTGAACGAATCTGATTGAGGTCTAAGAATGAGATCTGAGCATACTTCACAAAGCCTCCTTTCCCGTGGCATAGTGTTATATTCTTGCAGATGTTGTTGTCATGTTCTTTGTCTTCACTTGTTTCTACATTTTGTTTCTTCTGCTTGGTTTGTAATTGGCCCTTGAACTATTAAGTTAGGACGTGAATCAATAAGAATTGAATTGAATTCTCATCATTTGTATTAAACTTAATTCCGTTAAGGACCTTGTGTAATTACATGCTCTCTCTTGTGGAAAATTGTTTTTACCAAGATAATGTGTGCTGGAAAATAGCAGAACAAATAGATCCCTTGAAGTTGTGTGTTAACAGTGTATAGGTAAAAAGGTAAAGTTGTAACTGTGCTTAACTAATTAAACAATATGCCATGAAAACATGTAGGAGTGGATGTATGGATGTGTATTTTTAAATAATTCCAAGAAACCATAGCAGTGCACAGAATGTAAATAAATTAGGTTGTTCAGTTTGACATGCCTGTACTCTCAGATTTTGGATTGCTGTTTTGTTTTCATCATGAATTAAACATATCACTTATCCGACATAACTTAATACACCTTTGAACTTTTCACAAAATTCATTATTTACATGAACGGTAAAGTTAAACCTGAGCTTAATTAATTGAGCACCACACCATGAAGATGTATGGGGGAGTGGAGGTGTAGCTCCATCATTCTTAACCTCAGCACTAGATGCAGGTGAGTGGTCAGCTTCATGCCCCTGCCTCTCTACCACCAAGAAAGCAACCCTCAGTACCCATTGTATAAGGGACCGGATAGGTGCCGGAGCCAGTGTAGATGTTTTGGAGAAGAGAAAAATTCCTTGCTTCTGCTAGGAATCGAACTGAGACTTCTCGGCCATCCAGCCTGTAGACTAGTCATTATACCAAATGAGCTATCCCAGCTCCTATTCATTATGGATATTTCATTTATATTTAAGAATATTATCACATTCAACAGCTACAGATTTTTTTTAATGTGGTTATATAGGTTAGGTTAGTTTAATTCAGTTAAAATACAATATGTTACGTGTAAGTAAACTAAGTTAAGATAACCAAAACTAATATAACCAGTTACTAATTTTTGTATCTGTTAAATGTAATAATATTTTTAAGTATAGATGAAAATATCTGTATTAATACAGATTATAGTCATGATAGGTTAAAGCATCAAGTGATCAACCAAATGACACAGTTGCAAAAGTAATGCTGTTTCTTCATATTTAGGAGGTCTCAGGTGCGCATCTTACCCCAGATATCAGTAAATTGCAACTGAACATTCTGTTGTGGTTTCCTGTAGTCCCACCAGACTTGCGCCAGGATAATACCTCAAATTAGGATGTAACTCATTTTTCTGAAACCTTTCCAGTTCGTTATCATCTGTGCAGCTCATAGCTGTCATTTGCATGGAATGGNTGGTGAACTATTTCATCGCCCTTTGAAGTATTGTCCGGTGTTCCACAAGGATCTGTTCTTGGGCCTCTGCTTTTCAGTGTCTACATAAACAACTTGTGTGATTCAAGTTAAGCACTCCAGGTACCTACTCTTTGCAGAAGATATTAAAATTTACCGTGCTATTAGCTGTCCTGAAGATTGTAATCTTCTGCAATCTGATGTTGACAGTATACATAGCTGGTATTGCAGCGAATTATATGAAACTCAACGTTAACAAAACCAAAGTTATAACGTTCTCCAGGAAAACTAACTATTTGATATACGAATACAAACTTCATCATGTTATTATAACTCGAACATATTCAGTGAAAGACCTGGGTGTATACCTTGATTCTAAACTTCATTTTCATGATCATGTTAATTTTATATTTTCACATTGTATTAAGATGCTAGGTATAATTCGCAGTATCACCTTTAACTATTCAACCCTTGGTTGCATGTTCATATTTTACTTTATTTTAGTTAGATCTAAGGTTGAATACACTTCAGTAGTTTGGAATTCCATTACTTCAACTGATGCAAACAAACTAGAACGCATTCAGCAGAAATTTACGGCTCTCTGTTTTAAACGTTTTTTTCCTCAAGTAGATTACTGTTATGATTTTGCTTTAGAACAATTGAAATTGCACACCTTGGTAAAGAGGAGATATCATCTTGATGCGCTCTTCCTTATTCAACTTTATCGTGGTTCTATAATTTGCCTTTCTGCTTTGGAAATTGTTGGCCTTCAGGTCCCTGTTTGATATATCCGAGACTTTCCTATTTTCAATGTCTGTTCTGTTAGTAAAAATTCCCCCTCTGCTAGATGTGCTTCTGCTTATGTTGTCTGTAGGGACGTTGACATCTTTGGACCAAAAACTCCGTTGATGAAACATATCTTATACTGAATTAATTAAACTACTATTATCATCATTATTTTTTTTATTATTATTATTGCATGCTGCTCTATTTGAAACTCAAATTCTCACATTGTGGCTTTGTCTGTGTATGTTTGCTTCTGTATCTTTAGTCATGCTGTGTAAGGAATATAGACTATCATTTTTGTATTTTGTTTTTTAATTATTTTTGTGTATTTCTCTATTCATGCTAGCTTTGTAACTGGCCTCTGTGCTGTTAAGTGTACATGCAAATAAACATGAATTATCATCATCATCATAATCATCATCATCATCATCATCATCATTATTATTATTATTATTATGTGTTACAGCACAAGATGGATGCGATCAAAGTAGAACCTGCTTCAGATGAAGAGGCAGACACTGCATCTTCAGTGCATGATTTCTTACAAATTAATATAGAAAGTGAATATTCTGTGGCAGCAGAAGCAGAGACAAGTGAAGTAAAGGTATGCTCTGTTTTAAATGGATTCTTTTTTAGTATTGCTGCCTTTCTAAGCTAACATAACATCATTTAATTAAACTAAACCTAATCAATTTATGATTGTTTATTTAATTGCTACTGCAGATGAAGTCTTGGTAGATGTTATAAATGTCATGTTCTCAGTTCTAACAGAGTGAAAAGTCATCAGAAAGTAACCTCTGTTTATTTTAGTTAAGTAATGTAGGAGCTGGGGAGAGCTCACACACGCAAGGTAGCACCACATGACTCATTGTCTTGTAAACCTTCACATAACTGGTCATGTAGTGTCTGTTCTTGTCTCTGCAGAGTGAGTTATGGTGTGTCCTGTGATTGATAATCCCACCAGCTGTGAAATTCACGCTGTTATCAGCTTTCTTCATGCTAAAAACTTGAGTGCTGCAGAAAACCATCACGAATTATGTACGGCTTATGGCCAAAATATAATGAGTGAAGGAACTGTAAGACAATGGTGTTAGATATGTATATATAAAATATTTAATAATTTTATTTATTTAATTATTTTTTGGTCCAGTTCCCTGTCCTGTGTAGGTACAATAATAAAGAATCATCACTGACATACTAATTAGCTCTGTGTTGCAGGAGATGGCATGGGATGTTTCCCCAGTCAAGAATGAGTTCAAGGAAAGAGAGAGAGCAGGTACACTACAAGTATGTCTTGACAGGTAAATCTATTGGTGAAGCACATTTCTGCTGCTTGTGTATTGTTTCAGAATTAGTCATGTGGTTTCTCTTAGTGGGAAACCATGTAAATTCTTAACACTTTGCGGACCGCGCACGCATTAATACGTTTTTTGCTTTTAAACATGGCGGACCGGTCGCGTATTAATACGTTTTTAGAACACCGTAAGTTGCAACACACTATACATCACTTTGGCGCCACCTACATTGCACGCAATCGCCTGCAGATGCATGATAAGACTCTGGAATGTTTAGTTAACAGTCAGTAACTTGACCTCGCTGTTTACTTAACCGACTGTAAAGGAAAATGCTTTGCCTTCTTCAAGCTGTGTGTATCAGCCAGTGACTAGTGGGGAGAATGGATCAAGGACAAATTCTCCTCCGATGACCTAGCTGACCTGCCTTGTGAGACGCGTAGTAATGGATTGTCATTCAGACAGTGACAGTGACAGGGCGACAACAAAGAATTGTGGCCACAGACAGTAAAAGTGACAGTAGCTCTGACGATAATGCGGGTAATAACCTTGTGCGTAGTAACATTGCAGGGACAGCAAAAAATCTAAACCTTGATTCAAAATTGAAATACAAAGCATTTCTGATGAATGTGGCAGAGGCCTGGGCTACAGTCCAGATTGTGGCGGCAGAACCAGGGTCACACAAAGACTTAATACGACCGGGCCCTTCAACTCCCACCCCATGAAGGCCTCATGTGGACCCCCCAGGGCAACTCTCAAGTGATATGCCGAAAAATACCCTCATGAAAATTGTGAAGAGTGAACACCCTCATGAAAATTGTGAAGAGTGAACATTCCAAGGGGAAGAATCCTAGGCAATGCCGTGTTTGCACAGTTCACAAAAAAAGGAGTATGTCTACATTTGCAAGTTCCGTGTAATGCCACTTCACAAAGTGAACAGTGCACAAGTTAGGGTAGTATATTTAAAAATGCCGGTCCCCAGTGTGATTTAAATAGTTAAATCGCTGGTCCGCGAAGTGTTAAGAAAATGTTGTGTTCCATGTACAGTATTACTTGTGTTATTTCCAGACATGTTTTTCTTATTGTGAGGTATGGGTATTGCTGTAGGCATGTTTTTTTTTTTTTTTTTATAACAAACTTGAGTCACTATAGACAGGGTTTGGATCAGTAATTGGATTTATTGAACTCTTACAACTTGTAACTAGAAGTAAATTTTATACTGTCACTGTTCTACACACTTCACAAGTCACTTTAGGACACTCTAGGTCTTCTCAGTCTGTTACAGTCTTCACTAACTGTTGCTTGGTAGTGGCATTCAATGGTGGATGTTCCCCTTCCTCTGGGTTCCTTAACTTTCCCTGGCCTCAGCTACCAGCTTCTTACAGCAGCAGCTCACAACAACTGAACCCCACTCACTAACTGGCTCCTAACTTACCCTGCTTATAACATCACAGCAAGGACCACACAGAAAACACTGTTCCTCTGTTGCTGTTTATGGCCAATGTCTGTAGAGCTATTACTTAGCAATGAATGATGTACAGTTGCTTATTTTGTGGCCATTGCCTAGCAATGGTTCTACATGCCACAGTGTCTTCTGTCCACATATAATAATACATGTCGTGTGAATAGATTGTGATGAAATCTTGTGCTTGTTTATTTTATTCATTTTAGTTCCTTCTGGATGACATGAATACCTAAAGGCTTAGGTCTAATTTTAGATGTTTTTGGCTAGGTAATGAATTAGAAACATTTCAATTAAACGCTACAACTACTAGTAAGAGTAGTACCTTGTGTGCAGTTTGATTTAGGGCATATGCACCATTTAATATTGTAATAGATTTTGTGAATATACAGGCGTGAAGTTTCTTGTGTGCTGCATATTTTAGAAGCCTTGTTTTCTAAGAACAGAGACTTTAACCTTTAAACACTGGACTTTTGAAATGGTGGTAAGCTTGAGCTGGCCGGAGTTTATTTAAATGCCCACTGCTGGTGCACGTTTAAATGTCTGTTCCTGTTAGGGCACTTAAACAATTTTAAGCATTGTGTTTAAAATGCTGTTATTTAATACAATTTTTATGATAAATGGATGGAATTAACTTTGTTTGTATCACCAAAGAACATAGTGTCACATATTATAGAATAACTTTTGCAATTTTTTATACAAAGAGATACACTATTTTCAGTTTTTTCTTTTAATTTTGATGTGTACTATAAAAATGGTTTCCCATTTCTTCACAGAGTTGTTCTGCATTATAAAATCAGTCCTGCTTATAACAATTGTCATATTTTAGCAGTCCCTGGTGTCATAAAACAGATGGAAGCAATAAAATAGTTGGTCTTCTGCTGGCAAGTATCACGTCTTTCTTACACTCTTCAGATTTTTTAATCTTCTGACTAAAGGACAGAAGAATGAAAACATGGCTAATCAAGAAAAAGCTAGAGGGGTCCCTTCTTCAGCGCTAAGACCTTCCGTTGTAGCTGCAAGAGATTATTGCCCTTTCTGTGGTCGTAAACAGACAGCTGCATCGTGGCTGAGATACAGAGTGTGATCTGTTTTCTGTGCGTTCACAGTGAAATCGAATACTGTGGTTTCATTTCAGCCTATATATACATCAAGCAGATAACAAAAAATGTATGTATATTGAATTTTACTATATATTTTCAACACATTAATCTGCAGAGTCTGCAATAAAAGTACTGGCTCGTGGATGAGTTTGGGCATAACTCATACGTATACTCTTTTTTGTTGTTGTTCACATAGGTATCATTTTAATTCCTCTATTAGGAACATGGAGTGGACAAACGATTCCACGATTAACTTCATAAAAGCTTATGAAAAACACCCAGTGTTGTGGGATGCTACCCACTGTTTATATAAAGTGAAACCCAAAAAAACTGAAGCGTGGGATTCAATCGCAACGGAACTTAATGTAGTAGTGGCTGAATTGAAAAAGAAAATGAACAGTTTGTTAGCTACATACCGGAAAGTGCGTCAGAAGCTTACTGCTGCCGGAAAATCAGGATCTGGAGCTGATGAAATGGACGCCCCAAACTGGTTTGCATACAAAGCCTTCGCATTTCTTCACAACAGATATCAACCTCGGCGGACAATCAACACAGAAGTAAGTAAAACTAGTTTCATAGCCAACACTTGTAATTGACACAATATTTATTTTGGAAGAAAATCAAAGCAGAAAAAATGTTAACTCATTCACGAAACGTAGGTGTGTTCACGCCTGGAACATTTTAATTAGAGTTACAAAACTATTATAAAATAGAGGTAAAAACTCACATAAGTAGGTACTTGAAATGTACCTATGTAAATAGGTAGTTATTAGTACCTAGGTATCTGGTAATCGAATAATAAGAACAAATTCTTGAACAATTATTGATAATCAACTTGCCATGGCACTCTCCGATCTTTGGACATGAAATAAGCAGCAAATTCATCTCTAATGTCATTAGCAGTCTGAGTTGACCGTCGCGGAATGGTCGGTAATGGCGTAAATGTTTTAGCAGTCATGATCTCATTTCTCCATGTTCCACGGGTTACATGTCCATTCTCTTCATGATTGAGTGCTCCCCCAGGAGTATAAATTTGTCTGAAATCACAGCTTATCGCAAGAAATTATGCAGGTATATGCAAGCCATAATAACACTTTGGGCTTTCTCAGGCTGCAGTAATATAGGCTTTCTTAGTACTTGGAACATAGAAGAAAGTATTCTGAATGCATTTTCCACGATCCAACATTCTCTTGAAAGTCTGTAGTTGAAAATACGCTTACTTGATCCCTGGGTTGCTGTCCAGAATACAGCTTCATGATATGATTGTTGAGGGGAAACGCATCGTCTGCAATAGTGACATAGGGTACTCCTTTCTGTCTTCCTGGGAGGGTAAGAGTGTCCAGGAAAATGACTATACCATTCTCCATATTTTTAAAAAAAATTGTATTTTGAAAAACACCACCATCTGAAATTCAACCTTGGCAGCCCACATCAGTGTACATAAAACAGTAGTCAGCATCCACTAGACCAAAACGAACAATACTGAAAACGACTTGTAATTGAAAAAGTCGCTTCCAGAGTTAGCTGGGCATTGTACTGCGCAGTGTTTGCCATCCATTGCACCGACACAATGAGGAAAGTTCCATTTTCTCGTATTCTTCAGCTACCAGCAACCGCTCATCCTGTGTCTGTGGCATCAGCAAACAGTAAAAACTAATTATAACAATAAACAATAAAATGTAACAAAAATAATGAACATTCTACTGTATTCTAGTTTACTTATCTCCCTTGCTTTGTTATCAATTTTGTATTTTCGTTTTCCTAGTCCTACCTCTATTCTCTTCTGTTTTATTTTCCTTGCTTTCTTATTGTTTACATCAGTCTATGTTCCTTGCTTTATTTCAGGACGGAGGAGAAGCATCTGACTCCCAACTTGAAGAGGCTGTGAGCATGTGTAGCGATGAAGGTGATCTTGTTAGTAACCAAGAAACAGATCATGCACAAACACAAGTCAACAAAGCACCACCTACACGAAACGAAAACAAGGTATTTGTTTCACCCAGAAAAATTCCGCGAAAAAGTGCTAACACTGAAGATCCCCGAATAGGAGAGGCGTACACTGCCCTACAAGCCGCTATTGCTAAAAAAAGAGATGAATTTGACGCCTATGGAGAGTACATAGCGAATGTTCTGCGATCAATGGATAAACCAACACGTGCTTTTGTTAAAAAAGAGTTCTCAGACATAATTTTCAAAGCAGAAAGCGGCATTTATACATCCCCTTCTGCAATAACACAATTATCTGGAACCTCGTGTGACTATTCAAGATCAAGCTCGAGCAATAGTAACTGTAGTTACTCGTCGATCATGCCATCTCCTCCACAACCAATCGCTATCAGCACTCAACATGCAGAGACCAACCAACAGCGAACTTCTCAACAGACATCTGTTTCTGCTCCTGATGGTATCAGACATGCCAGTTCACAGTTGCTTGATTTCCTTCATTTAGAATGAATTCTTTTGTTCAAATTTGATTTGTTTCGCTCATTTGACTGTTAATTTTTTCTACCTTATATGTTTTGAAATCCTATTGTAGGTTCTGTCATTGATATCGCTGAATGTTTTGTAATTATTTTTATTGCTTCGACCACAATATGAATAAAGAATAAAGAAACGTGCATTATTACACATTAACTTACCTTTACAAACTCCTTCAAACTGTCAAGAAGTGCTGCACATACTTCAGGAAAAATGTTTGATATCACTTGCGTGGAGACTTTAAATAAAAAAACTGAGACTGGAGTAGGAATCGCCACTTGCTAGGTATCTGAGTGTAACTGCCAACCGCTCTGCAACTGGAATAGCTTTTCGAACTGTGCTGACAGCCTTTGTCAGCCTTCCCACCACAGCGGCCCGGGTTCGATCCCGGGTCTCGTCAAGTGGGATTTGTGGTGGACAAAGTGGCACTGGGGCGGGTTTTCTCCGAGTACTTCGGTTTCCCCTGGGAATCTTCATTCCACCAAATTCTTCATCATAATCACCCAGGGCAGGCTACAATAGGCCAATCAGTGGCGGCCGTGCCGAGTGAACCCAGTTGGACTCCACCCACCAAGTGAATTAAAAAAAATTACATGTCGCCAGTTGCTCAGCTACTTAAGCACTTCCCAGCATTTTATGGAACCTAAGGGTTTATTACAGTGTTTGCAAGTGCCCTAAACTGTTCCCTATCCTGAGCCAGCTTGATCAAGTCCTCACCATCCCATCCTATCTCTCTAAGACCAATTGACATGGACTACTAACCTACAACTTGGCCTTCCTAGTGGTGTCTTTCCTTCTGGTTTTCCCACCAATGTGTTATATACATTTCCCTTCTTCCCTATTCATGCTGCATTCCCTGCCCATCTTATCCTCCTTGGCTTGATCATTCTAATTATATTTGGCGAAGAGTGCAAGTTGTGATGCTCCTCTTTATGTAGTTTTCTCTAACCTCCCATCACTACTGCTCTCTTTGGTCAAAATATTCTCCTCAGACCACTGTTCTGAGCGCCCCTAGTCTGTTTGAAGTGGCAAATTTTACCCTGTGCTTAACTAATTAAGCACTACGCCATGGAGGCATATGGGGAAGTGGATGTATATATCAACATTTTCTTGACCTCAGCACCAGCTTGAGATGAGTGGTCAGCTTCACGTCCTGGACACTTTACACCCGGGAAAGAGCCCCCAGTACCCATTGGATAGGAGTTTGGGTTGACCCCAGAGTTGGTCTGGACGATGTGGAGACGAGAAAATTATTGACCCTACCAGAGCTCAAACTCCAACACCTTGGTCGTCCAGCCTGTGGCCAGTTGCTATACAGGCTATGCTATCCCGGGCCCTTAGTCTGTGTACCTCCATTAACATCTGAGACAAAACTTCACACCCCACACAAAACCACAGGCAAAATAGTTTTGTATCTTCCAATTTTTGTTTTTAAACAACAGATGAGAAGACAAAAGGTTCTGAACTGAATGGTAGCAAGCATTACCCAAATTTAATCTCCTCTTAATTTCCCCCTGAATTAAGAGGATTTTTGCATACAGCTGAGCCGTTAATACCTGATCCTAGACCTTTTGATGTTGAGAGTGCTATTGCAAAATTGAAAAGGTTCAAATCGCCAGGTAGTGATCAAATTCCGGTGGAAAGTATTCTAGCAGGAGGCGAAATATTACATTCTAAGATCCATAAGCTAATTACTCCTATTTGGCATAATGAAAAATTGCTTAATCGATGGAAGTAGTCTATTATTGTACCAATTCACAAGAATGGCGATAAAACTGACTGTAGTAATTATTGGGGGATATCACTGCTATCAACTTCATACAAAATATTATCCAATATTCTTCCATCAAGGTTAAGTCCATACATAGATACAGCATTGTTTTACAGTTCCTACACTCATTACATTTTGGCCGTAAATCTCGCATAATTCACAATGGATTTCCATATCAGTCATGTTTTTAGCATGAAGCAAGTGGATATCAGTGCGAATTTCACAGCTGGGAGGTTTATCAATCACAGGACACCTCACAACTCACTCTGTAGAGACAAGAACAAACACTAGGTGACCAGTTATGTGATGGTTTACAAAGCAATGAGTCATGTGATGCTACCTCACATGCGTGAGATCACCCCCACTCCTACATTAGCTGCCTCAAATAAATGGGTACATTCTGAGTAGCCTTGTTATGTTATTGTCTCAGTGTCACTTCATAACTCAGCATTTAGTGTTGTTTCATTTTACAATCCTATCCACTATTAACTGAAAACCTATGCAGCCTTACAGATGCATAATTTTATTTAATTTTGTTATTTGTTAAACAGTGGCAGTGCAGCTTAACTTTTATTCATTCACATGCTGATGGACAAACAGGCATGCATGCACTCAAGGACGCATGTGTTCACTATTTCTGTTCCTCCTCTTCCTGTCTGTTACCCCTCTCACACCAAGCCACTTAACATCTCATTGGACTGGGGCTTCAAACTCATTTCTCTTCCTACTAAGACTTATGTTGTTTCCTCTCATTTTCCAGAATATTTTGAATGAACTGCAACCTGTACATGGTGAAGAATGGCAACAAGTCATTCTGTTATCTGAATTATCTGAAGATTCATCAGTGCATGCATAGTGGGGAATGACCATCCTGCTGTGGCACCTGTAAGAAGTAATTCAGTCATCTGGGTAGCCTGAGGGTACATGAACACATACATAGCAGGGAATGGCCATTCTGCTGTGGTGTATGTAATAGTTCACTGAGAGTTCACAGTAATCTGAAGTGAGGCCAACTCATATATACCAGGGAACAGTCATTTAGCTGTAATATGTAAGAAGTCATTCATTCTGAAAAGTAACATGAAGTCACATATTTGGGTACATGTTGATGTGTATAATAAATCATACAGCTGTAGAGATGGGTTTAGACTAAAGAAACAATATGTGACTTGTGCCCCGCAGTTACAGCCACATTGTTTACATTCACTCCATTTCTCTCGCACGCCTTACAAGAACTGGACAGGAATGCACATGATGTGTCCACACTGACATGTTCAGCACTGGTAGCATTAGCAACTCTTCCAGCAGCTGTAGCTAACATCCAAAAATGTTGCTTGCTGTAAGTCACATGGAATTACTCTGTGTTGCATGTTTGTAGAATGTTACAAAATACTGCAGTTGCTAACCTCTCTGACTGACATGGGAAATGACCTGAGTCCTATGGTACAAAATGTCAGTGCATATTTTTATCTTTTTAATTGTAACTGCTGAATGTGTACAATGCCTTGTCTCATTTAGAGTAAATTGACATTACATTCTCCCATATTTATAATTACTTCATCTGTGAACTGGAACTGATCAACAGGTTGTAAACATAATTCTGCAGTATCATGTCATTTTTTGTATGTTATCTATGCACTTTTGCCATCTGCTCTGAGTATGTTTGCTGATCAGTTAGTTATGAATCGATATATCATTAGTATTGAGTATATTGAGATAATTCATGGATTGTTAAAGTGAACATAAATTGTGATTTATTGACCATTACAGGCAAAATATTTTGTGGGATACTTGATACATTAATGACAAAAATGCAAAGTAAAATTTATCCTTGTAATTATTTGGTCTGGATGCTGTGAGAAAAATATTGGTACCTCCAGACAGTGTATACCCCCTCTCCAAGAGGTAAAGTGTCATAGTATAGTTGTTAGCTCTCTATATCTGGAGGGTGTTCAGTTTGATTCTTAATTCAGAGGCCAGTTATCACAAATTTCAATGTTTTCAGTGCCTCCATCCCATAAGTGCTTCCTTCCACATCATAATCATTCACAATCATCTCCCCCATTAAGATTAAGGTCTTGTGGGATGTGACACCATGTAATTTGGTTGGTAGGTACCACTTGTAACCTGGAGGTGGAGGCAAGTTTCCTCTGAAGTGTTGGTACTCACCTGTAAAACTACAGTTTCACATCTGCACTGCTGTGAGGACCTCACATCGTCTGTGTGTCCATCCCACCATCTCTTGCAAACAGTGCTTCATAGGGAAAAACAATATAACAAAATAACAAAAATAGTTTCTCGAATTTTAGTGCAGATTTTTATGTACAGGAATGTTAGTAATTGTATAAATTAAGAAATAAGCAGCCATATAATTAGTTAAGAATGACCTCTTTACAGAGTAATTCATAAGAATCAATTTTAAAAACTGTTATCATTTGAAATATAAATCAATATTATCTCCTTGGGTTCATGCTGACAGAATTGCAATACCGTGAGCATGTGCGCTGACAGAGGAGTCAGATGCTCATCTTGTCAAGCAGAGTGCCCCATTACATATCAGTTCACATAGCTGTGGTGTCTAGAAAATTTCTTTAGTACATATCTGCCATCTGTCCAGTCATTTTTATATTTCCTAATGCCATAAAAAAGTGCTTTTTGAGAAGATGATAGTTCCTCAGCCATTCCTGAAGTTCTGTGCCTGTCATGGAACCCAAAATTTCAATACCAAGCTTACAATGCCAATCACTGGTCTCTATCCAAAGCCACAAGACTCCAGTCCACATCTACACACAACCTATTCCTTTTAGATCAGTTTTAATATTATCCTTTCATCTATGCCTAGAATTCCAAGAGGGCCCTTCTTCTCTTCAAATTTTCCAACAAAAACTAAGTATGCATTTTTCATCTCTGACTTGCCCTCTTCATCTCATCTTCCTTAATTTAATCACCATAATGAAGTTAGATGAAGATACAAATTATGAAGCTTTTTACTTTCTCCTGTTTAGGTTCAAATATTGTTCAATTGTACTGTACTGTAAAATTTTGTCAAAAGTCATTAAAGAAGCCAAACAGAATAACTATAACAGCCAAATTCTAAAATCAAACAATAAAATTAAAACCACCTGGGATATTGTGAAAGTTGAATCAGGAAAGAAATCTGTTAATGAAGACGTACAAAGTTTGAATATTGAAGGGAAGTCCACTAACAATCCACAAGCTATCGCAAGTGCATTTAATGAATATTTCCTTTCATTAGCTGAGAAAACATATTCCAATAATAATAATAATAATAATACAATATACTATCTGTCACGTGCCTTTAACAATTCATTTCCAAATATAAATCTCAAATTCTCAACAAGGAAGGAAATTGAAAACATTATTAAATCCCTTAAGCCCAAAAATTCACATGGATATGATGAAATCTCTACCAAATTACTTAAAGCAAGCTCTGTTTACATCAGTTCACCCTTGAATCATCTATGTAATAAATCTTTATCATCAGGTACTTTTCCTCAACGCTTAAAATACGCTATAATGAAACCACTTTTTAAAAAAGGAGAGAGAAAATGCATCTCTAATTACAGACCAATATCCATATTGACTTCATTCTCAAAAGTCTTTGAAAAAGTTATGTATAATAGACTACTTGAACACTTAAATTCTAACAACATATTAGTCAAAGAGCAATTTGGATTTAGGAAAGACCTAACAACAGAAAAAGCAACCTATGAACTAACTAACGATATTTTAAGTGCTCTCAATGACAGATTAATTGTGGGAGGGATTTTCTGTGATCTAGCAAAAGCTTTCGATTGTGTTAATCATGATATCTTACTATCGAAATTAAATTTCTATGGAATAACTGGCAAAGCTAATGAATGGATCAAATCATACCTCAAAAACAGGTATCAAAGAGTTGAAATAAATAATAAAAACTCCAGTCATAATGCATTTTCAAACTGGGGAATTATAAAGCACGGTGTTCCACAAGGATCAATTTTAGGTCCCTTACTTTTTCTTCTCTACATAAATGATCTATCTAAAACCATCAACAATAAATCTAAACCAATTCTATATGCAGATGACACTAGTATAATATTTAAGAACTCTAAATTTGAAAACTTTAAAAATGACATAAATATTGTATTTGAAGCCTTAAACAGATGGTTCGAAGCCAATTTACTCTCATTAAATTTTGATAAAACCCATTACATATCATTCACAACTAAAAACAACCACCAAATTGATCTGGACATCAGTTATGCCAACAAATTAATCTGTAAAGTACTTGATACAAAATTCCTTGGAATACATGTAGACAGTACACTGTCTTGGAAAATACATATTGAACAAATTATACCTAAATTAAATGCAGCTTGCTATGCGATGAGATCAATTAAGCCTTTTATGTCACAGGAAACATTGAAGATGGTTTACCATGCCTACTTTCATTCTATTATGAACTATGGATTAATATTTTGGGGGAACTCTTCACATAGTGTAATAATTTTTAAAATACAAAAGAATATAATTAGAATCATTACAGGATGTAGAAGTAGAGATTCATGTAGAGAATTATTTAAGAAATTAAAAATTCTACCTCTTCAATCGCAATACATATTATCGCTTCTCTTATTTGTTGTTTACAACAAAGATAAATTCAAATTAAATTCTGATGTCTATAACATGAATACTAGACAAAAATATAACTTCCACCTACCCTCATCAACTTTATCAGTATATCAAAAAGGAGTCTACTTTACTGGCATAAAAGTGTTCAACAATCTGCCACAAAGTATTAAAAACTTGGGCAATGATACTAAAAAGTTTAAATCAGAGTTAAAGAATTATCTACATGCTCATTCCTTCTACTCTTTAGATGAATACTTCAATGTAAATAGAGAATGATGTAAAATTAAGTTATATTAATTTTTAAGCTAAAATTGCCTGTACTTATGTATGTAACCTTTTGACATGTTCTGTATCCAAAGGTACTAACCTGCTTAGGATTTATAGAATGTAAATAAATTCAATTCAATTCAATTCAATAATGAAGTTAGATGAAGATACAAATTATGAAGCTTTTTACTTTCTCCTGTTTAGGTTCAAATATTGTTCAATTCCTGTATTCACTCACTCACTCACGGAGCTTGATAAGCTGCCAATTGTACAGCTACTTAAGAACTTCCCAGCATTTTATGGAATCCAAAGGTTCATGCACCTATTCAAAATGTTGTGGGAATCTGCAAGCAGATCACTATGATCCTTCACTAAATTACTTCTAGGTTGGTAACCCCTCTTACAGTCATTTATTCCTCTATATGAGTACATGCCTCTCATGTTCTTGTTCTTACTGTTCATTGCAAGCTCATCAATTTTGTCTTTCAGATATTCCCTCTTCTTATTCCTGAAATGCCTGCTGGTTTCATGTCTTATATTTTTCAGATTATCCACATTTATTTTGCTTGGATCCTGTAAACATAACAGTTTGACCTGTTTCCTTTGGTCTAATAATTTTGAGCATCCTTCACTGAACCATGCCTTATGCTTCTTCAGTTCATAATAACCTGCACTCTTTTTGACAGACATTTTGGTATTCTCTCTAACAATTTCCCAAGCTCTATTAACATCCACCTCTGTGTCTAAGTTTCCAAAGCCGTGAACTTATTTGAGATTGCAGCAAGATACTGCTCCTTATCCTCTACCTCATTTATTTTCTTGAGATTGAACCTCTCCATATGAACTCTTTGTGTTGTTTGTTTGCTCACTGCCAGTCTTTCCCTAACCTTTGCCACCACCAGGTAGTGGTCAGTATCACAATCTGCTGCCCAAAATTATCGGACATCAAGTATATTTGAATGCTGTCTCCTGTCTATCAAAATATTGTCAATTTGGTTGTGCATCCTCTCATCAGGAGATGTCCAAGTAAATTTATGAATGTTACAATATGGGGACATCATGCTTTTGACAGTAAGATTTTTGGATGTGGCAAAGTTTACTGCTCTAACTCCATTATCATTAATAATTACATGACATTGTATTATTGTTGTGCTTTCACACATCTTGACCAAGGAGCCATAGCTATTCTCCTTTGCTTGGGGGGGGGGGTGTTATTGTCAGATATCCAGACCATAAAACACAGCAGATAGCAACATGCTGTGAAAAGACAACATACAGATTTTTCTGAATGCACTTTGATCACTACTGCAAATGGTGCACACAGCTGCTTATGCAATTCCTTGTACATATGTAGACCGACTGCTGTTAACTTTGGGTGCAGCAAACATGGCAGGCTGGGAGGTAAGCCAGCATTCAGTTGCTGGAAGTGAAAGTACTAAAAGGATACAAAAATAAACATTATAATAGTTGCAGTGTTTATAATTTATTAATAAATACATTTTAAAATTTACAGTACCTTTGTTCTGGTTAATTTATTTGAAATCATATTCTACTGATGACTGTCCAGTCTTTGTGACTTGTAAAGTTATTAATATTAGCTTCTGAAAGCCGCTGCAGCTTCATACATACCTGAATATTTATTTTACAAATGGCGATGTGTGTAAGTACTGCAAAAGAATCAGAACATAAAGTTTAAAGTGATGCACAACTTCCACAAACTGTCTTCTGAACAAGTATAAATGTAGATACTTAAAGAGAATACAAAGTTTAATTCATCATATAAGACAAAATATTTCATTTAAAATTATATGTTGTCAACTTACGACCGACTTCCGTTCTGACTGACAGGTCGTAAGTCGATCTGGTCGTATGTTGGCCATATATTTATTAATAGTAATTTTTAACCTTTCTAATCTTTTTATCGTCTTTATAATTTATTTTTAAGAACTTTTACATTTTAATCATCTTTTATTTTTCATTTCTTTGTGGTCGTAAGTCGACGACCAAGTGTATATTGTAATCCCATGTAGATACTTTATATGTGTGTAGAAAGGAAAACTCACAATCCTAAATATAGTTCTTTAAAATTTGTTTTTGCCAACCTGAAATGATCATTATTTCTGTTACAAAATTTCATTGTGTCAGACCCACAGGTGAATGAAAGAAGTGGATTTGTGTGCAAGGAGAAGCTCCCGATACTTCCTCCATCTACAGGTTATTACAGGGAGCCACACTACAGAAAGTGGCATTTATGGTAGAAATGTTTTTATAAACTTTATAGACTGCATCCTGTTGTGTATATAATATTTAATTGCTTCTATTGTGACTGCCAACATAACAAATAATGTGGGAATATCTTCAATAAAGACAATAGGTGTTGGTATATCTTACGTCTTTAATATAAATGTAAGTGTGCCACATGTTTCGACCATATAATTAAGTCATCATCAGGCACTTATGAACATAACTCAAGTGATTAAAATGTTAGTTACAAACATATGAACACACATCAATTTGCACCAGAAAAAAAGATAATGCTATTATTAACAAAATACTTATCAATAATGGCTATCAACAACAGATAACGCATCATAAGCAACTGTCACATATCATAGGCCAGATACCAGGATCATCATCAAACTATTCCATAACACTAATTTAAAAATAGCTACTAGCTAATAGCAAAACTACTAATTCAACAAAAAACCATCTGAAACCAAATAACCAATACGTACAGCAAAAACAGAGTATACCAACTAAGATGCAACAAATCCCCTATGAAATACATAGGACAGACTGGATGTACATTTAAAGTCCACTTTAGACAACACATCCAAGATATAAGAACCAGCAGACACAACTCGAAATTTGTAAAACACATACTAGATATTGGATATTCATATAACACAATGGACCAAACTATGAAAATCGAAAAAAGGATATAAATTAAACACTCTCAAATGATTTGAAATATACATTTTAAGTAAGATACACATATTTATTACAAACATAACACATAATAGATTATATCAATTATATATCGCCCTTTTCCTCTATTACAGCTAAGCTTCAATGATAATCTAGGATAACAGCGAGAAGTGTAAGAAATAACAACCAGATTTCATACCATGCAACAGGTAAATGTCCCCCCCTCATTTTTTCTAACAGTATTAAACTATAACATATATAATTTCAGTATATGCGATCTGCATGACAATAAGCAGAAAAATAACACAGAACAGTTGAAGACAGCATATGACCAAGCGCAGCATGTATGACACAAACTCCATCCTAAGTGCAACAATTTATGGTAGTTCTTTCATCTTCTTTTCTTCTACACTACATGTTTTGGCTGTAAATGGCCATCATCAGGTGTATACTCTCACGTAGTTGCTACACTGCACGTAGTTTAAAATTTAAGGAATATAATATTGTAAGCACAGCATCTAACCTGAGTTTTAAATATAAAATACAATTAATTTTTATGCCATTTATATTTTTAATATCTCTATTTTCATATTTTTATTTTATCTTTGTTGTTAATCATAATAATGAATTGTATACTAAACTGTAGATATATATACTTAATATATATATAATATATTGTCGCGTATTGGGCGTATAACGCGACAAATAACTTCACGCCGTATTTTATATAGCGAATTTAATTTCACATTCGCACCTACAATCACCCAAAT